CCAACTCACATGATAAGCTAGTAGCTTTTCTCAACTATTGTACGGATAAAACATGATGTTGTTCGGGCCAATCAAGGGTTATCTAGGATCCTTTCTTATATGACCCGAACAATAGTATGTTTTATCCTTACAATAGGAGTGTATCAAAATGGGGTATCTTTCAAGTTGGGCACTCCCATATATCGCAAAATCTGTTCCAACAGTTCAATTAATAGAATTGAGCTGTATGAAAAATATTGTTTTGTTTTATGAATAACATTTCAGTTACCGAGCAAAGATTTTTTTTTTATAACCGAAAGTACCCTTCTCAAAAACAGAACAAAAGAGATTCGGCGGATCAGAGAGCATTTACAATAGTTTCTCAAATCCAAGTTAGAATAGAACTCGCCGACCTCTAATATGATGGACACAAACCAAATACTGTAGTTTCATGGAACGGTTTTTCGTTGCATTCAATTCGAAACTCTATGGTATACTTTAATTGATTGTAGATTTCATATGTGAAGGACTGTATGTTTTTTTGAATTATTTCAACGAGTAGAGTGAGTATATGATTTAAATTTTTTTCGATCAATTCTGAATGATCTAAAATGTTGAATTCAATTGAAAATATAATATTTTTTACCTCTAAAATTTGTTGTTTTTCTTCAAGTGCTCGTTCTCCAAACATTTTCGCATCAAACATTGAACCAATTTCTCTGAATAATGTTTCTAAACGCTTTAATTCATCATTAAAATGTGTCCATTTATTATTATCATGAATTAAATCTTGTAAAAATTCATCGATTATTCGTAATTTTTCTGTTAAGTCTTCAAGCATATTATCATAATCGATTTTAAGTTTTTGTAAATTTTCATAGGGTAATAAATTATTTGATGAAATTGTTTGAAGATATTGAGTATTTTCATCGAGAATTAATTTTAAATCAGTATATGAAGCTCGAAGATGCTTAAATGATATAATAATTAAAACAAAAACACAATCTAAAAGACAAAATATTTACTTTGCAATTATCAATTTCATGTTGAAATGATATTATAGACTTTTGATTAGATTTTAATTGAACAAGTTCATTATTTAAACGTTCAGTTTGTTGTTGATAACGACGTTTATTTGCATCGAAACGTTCCCATAATTCAAGTAGATGCTATTAAATAATAAAAATATTGAAATTACAAATAAATTTTTTGTCTATATTTACTTTAAATTTTTCTAAATGATCTTGTGCTGATCGAATTTTTTCATTATATAATTTTTGTATATTTTGTATATCATGTTGAACATATTTTGGTACCATTGGTTGTCTTATTAATTCATTACCTCGTGTAACAAGTTCATTTATTTGATGAGAAAAATTTTCTAATACATCACAAACTCTTATTTGACCTTGTACAGCTGTACGAACATCAGATAGATCACGAAAATTCATTGGTGCATTTGAAATATTTTCTAATGATGTATTTAATTGTAGACTATTTTCATGAATCATTTTAGCAGGAATAACAACCGTGCAACGTTGGGAAGCTTCATCAATAGAATTAAGTAATTGTCTATAACGTCCAAGAAGTACATCGAGACGTTGACGATAACGACTAGGATCATCAGTTGCACGTTCTTCAATTAGTTCATCTAAGAGTGTGGATAAAGTTTTAACATCATACGATATTGTATCGATTTGTTGAACATCACTCTGAAATAAATAGAAATCTATACATTAGTAATTAAAACTAGAAATTTCAAAAAAATATTTACAATTGATTAAGGAATCTGCAGCCTAGAACTCTTCGCTAGTTGTCTTTTAGTTAATGCAAAGATTTGAAATCATTTAACTAAGACTTAAAATTTGTTTAGTCTTAACAAAAAGAATCAATGTTGAGGGAAATAAATCAATTTCAATGAATATTAATGGTTCTATTGTATTATGATTAATATCAAGTCGATAGCTGCCTGAATAATTATGAAAATGTTACTGTAGATACAACCGAAGGTTCTCTATACAATAAAAGCTGTTAGCACAATCTCGACGAGATTAACATGTGAAACTCGATTGATCAACTTATTTTATAACTCAAGGGATTCTTCAACAGATACTTCAGTTTGCGATTTCCAATATACGACTGTTTCCCTAATGGAAGATAGTATTCATGATATATTACAGTTAGAAGTGTAAGCCATCCAACTGCGCCGCCGTCGCCATGGAGCTCGAGATAGTTTTACGAATTTTTTAGCCGCCGCCGCCATGGAAAAAAAATTAAACCATTAAAACAGCTGCCGCCGTTTGACCATTCGGCTTACACCTCTAATTACAGTGAGTTCGAAAAGACGATAAAAACCTGTAATGGGCAAGATCCTTGCTAAAATACCTGTCATGGTCTGTGGAGGAGACTCAAAATTCTATCTTTATACTTCAACATTCCTTTCAGATCGTATTTCACGAAAATAAAATGATTTTAACTTATTACCTTATTAACAAGTTCTACCTATCATTAAAAGCTCTCGATTAAGCACTTATATTTTACAAATATTGTTTAATCTATAACTTAACAAGAACTTTGAGTTAAACAATGAAACTTTTGCTATCAATATTGTTTCACACACTTCATTTTAAAATTAAGAAAAAAAATGGCTTGACATTTCAAGTGTTAGCAATACAACCATTATTATTGTAATAACCTCAACTAGACGTACAATACCAAAAACACAGCTAGTATTTCAAGCCTTTGTGTATCGAAAAATTGTTTCTCATAAAAAATAAGCCTAATATTTCGAATCAGCATATAAAAATACACTGGAAACTCTATAGTTCATCGCAAAATATCTCGAACAATAATTTAATCTCTTCTCTCTCTCAACTTTTTATTCGTGAAAATTAATCCTGTACTCCTTGATAAGTAAAATTTTATTGTAAGAAATATTTTTAATAATGAAAATCTTGTAATCGATACAAAAAATTCGTTAAAGTTAAGTTTCACATATTAACTACATATATAATAAATGCGAAAACCTCGGATTTAAATCCGAGAGTTATGTGTACTTCAAAAAGTGAATGAGACAGATGAGTCATCCTAGAATGTGTGGACATCAAAATTATCCTGGTAAACCTTTTCT